CAGGCGATGGTCGCGGTTGTTAAAGAAGCTTCTCCGTGGGCCGTCCCCGCTGCAGGTGGACAAATTGACGAGTCCCTCTCCCCTACTAGGGCGGATTCAGGCACCTGAGCGAACTCAGGGAGCTGGCAATCAGGCTAGGGTTGGATAAACCCATCCTTACTTTCTGCGAGGCACTTATACAGCGCGGTTATCCAGTTAAGTTTGGCCCTGGTTCGGAGGATGCACTGGCAATAGTGCCACACCTGCAAAAAGGGGGCAAAAAGAAGCAAGGCTGGGCATGCATTTTTTGGGAAATGGATTATTTCTGCATGTGCGAAGTGCAGCAGTCCTCAGCTCACAGTTTTGCAAATTTAGCAGTGCTTAAACCTATAATTCTTCTGTACTGTGAGCGCATTCTGTGTACTCCTTGTACAGAATCATAATATGCCCTAGTGCTGTTACACACACTGACTTGTAACCTTTCTTTTAGGATGAGTTTGAACTTTACTTGTCCCTTCTTCTTTCACTGTTTTTTGACTTAGTCTAGCACTCTTAAGGCAGTGCTTGCTGTCACTGTAAACTTACCCATTTGGCAGGAAAAGCTTTCCTGAATTTTGCTTGTTTATGAATAACAAATAACAACAACAACAAAAAAGCTCATTCCAAGTTCTGTGTAGATTTTTTTTAACCATTATGTAGTGTAGATCTGAACTTGAATTTCCTGAAATTAATACCAAACATAGGGGAATGCTTCAAAAACAAAGGAAGGTTTTTGTAAGTCCTTCCAAATATAGATACTGCAGTTCCCTTATGTTGCTATTTTAATTTGTTTCTCTTGTATGATCCTGCTATTTTATGTGACAACTTTTTTTTTTTTCTCTCTCTCTCTTTTTTTTTTTTTTTTTTTCTTTGGTTGTTTTCCCCATTGCTTTGGCATCTGCAGCACCTGGGGCCAGGAACCTTCCCCCTGCAGGCACCACACAGGCCTGGATGAGAAAAGATCAGGCTCAAAGCACTCAGAAGCAGTTCCTTTTTGAAAAGCCATTAGAGGTAAAAATTTAAATGTCATCTTTTGTTGGACTATAAACAATAAACTGAAATATTATATGTCATTGATTTCAAAACAAATGAAAAACTCAGCTGTGACCAACATTTGGCATTTGGGAGCTTTTATTTCAGGGAGAATTTACAACAATTTTTTATGTTTGGTAAACAAAGTTGTGCTCCCTCTGTTCAGTTTTGAGCTTTGACAATTAATTCCATACCTATTCATTTTTTTTTGGGGGGGGGAGGGGGGAGCTAAAAGAACAAAGTCTGGTAAATATTCAAAATGATGCAGTGTTCCAGCCATGATTTGAGCTTGGATGAACCCAAAATTTCATTTTAGTGAAAAAAAAAATAAATCTTTTACAAAGCACAGCAATCTCTAGCTATGCAAAGAATTTAAAACTAGCAGCTCCTGCTGCCTTCTCTGTCTTGTTTTTTGTTTGTTGTCTAAGGCTTGGGAATTGGTTATCCCTCCTTGTATAATTAGTCTAGACTTTTAATTTGGTATGTGAGGACAGGCATTTTTTGATTGCAATTGAAAACCAGCATGTACTGTAATAATCCAAGTAACTTAGAAATTAATTCTCTTTATATAGGGGAGCATTGATAGTTAAATTCTGCCTGGAGTGGTAGTTATCCGAGTGTTTCTGAGTTGGCTTGTCACTGCTTCAGAACTGTTAGAAAGCCTCCTCCTTGCTGATATTTCAGTGCTGGTTGTGCTTGGGAAGTAGCTCGCTTCTGCACTGCTCAGTTCTCAGGAGTTTTGCAGATGGGAGTTAGCTCTGCTGAACTAGAAAACACCAAGTACTTAGGGGTTTTAGGTTTCATGTGTGTCCTGTCCTGTTGTCTTTCAGGTGGGGCGCAAAGTTCCCGATGCGGGTGTGATAGAGTGAGTATACACTGCTGCCTTGACTGTCTGTCTGGTGGCTTTGCAGTCCTACCAGTCAGAGGGAAACTGCTTTAAAAGACTCCTTTTTCACTAATAGCTGCCATACCTTTGGGAAGAAATTTCAGTATAAGGTGTGGTGTCTGGACTTTCAGGCCTTTTTTCTGATCTCATTTTGTAATCAACGAGTCCGGGTCTGTCTGCTCATGTTGGTGCAGCTTTGTAGCTGTATAAGCAAGGAAGAGAGAACACCTGAGTGTTCTAGGGCAAGAGATGAGCAAATATGTCCCCTTTGGTTAAGCACGGACACTTCTCTAGAATAGTCTGTGTTAACTGTGCTGGAAGTTACTTACTGTTATCTATAAATATAACTGGTGTGGCAGCCCAAACAGCACTTACTTGGAAGGATCAGGAAATCACTACCTGCTAGTAAGTGTCACAGTGAAGTTAGACATTTGTATGCTGTAGCCTGAAAGAAAGGTCGCTAGGAATAGTCTCAGAATATGGCAGAAGCGCTTACTGTTTGTAGTGTTCCTGTGTTGTAACTTTTCATTTTGGTGTGAGTGATAAAGCTCTATGTTCTTTCTTTATTTTTTATGATTAGTAGCAGTAACGTTGTATACAGGTAAATTCAAGGTGTTAAAAAGTGTTCTGAAAGTTCACTGACCTCTCATTTGTTCCACTTACCAATTCAAAAAGAAGCAAAAGAAACAAAGCGTTGATGCTGTTCTAGTCCCCGCAATATGCTGTAGATAATTCAGTGTGATTCCTGCTCTGAATGTGTGTGTGGCATTGCAGACATCACAAAAGTTTCTGCTTATCCACCCTTTTAAGTATAGCACAGCATAAAATACACTTTGTGGTAGTCTGTTGAGTTAGAGGACTCTTTGAGTATGGAGAGTGATAAATTACTTCATGGATCTAGGCAGAAAGAGCAGTGTGAAGTTTGGAGCTATCTTAGGAGAAAAATGAGACAGTAGGTGCAGCAAGCAGTGAGTGCGAGCGTGGGTAATGCTTCACAGGTATGCAGCCTCTAACAGAGGGAAGAATGATTTTTCTGCTCTATCAGCTACGGTAATTAATAATTATTCACGTATCTGTAATCTGGTTTTAGTGTCACGAAGCCTGATGAACACTTGGCTGTGTTAGCAGAGTGAAGGCACCTGCCTTCTCACCAAACACCGTAGGTTTTGCCTCTTTGGTGAGATTCGTGCTGTAGGCATCCCTATAAATGCAAACACAGCGCATTGAACAGAGTGCTGTCTCCATGGTTGTTCGTTTCAGAATACTGATGACATCACTCACTTATCTCTAGAGCCCTAAAACTGTTTGGAGCCTTTGATGAAGGGAAAGCAAGAGAGTTAGAGGCAGGAAGAACACACAACTCGTTTGCCTCTCTGCCTTCCCTTGCTGCCTTGCTCTGACCTCTGGCTGGCTCTTCAAAACTTTACTGCCTCCCTCTAGCTCCCCAAAACTTTTTTTTTTTTTTTTTTTTTTTTTTTTTTTTTTTTTTAAAGGCAGCTTTCCCTGGTGCTCAGCAATTCAAGCCCAACAGTAAGAGCATCTCATGTGGTTTGTTCATCTGATGGCTGTTTCTTTTCTACATCCTCAGCAAACCTGGTGTGTATGAACTGAGCACGTTGCCAACAGGCATTTCTAAGTAAGTGGATTACACATTTTTGGGAACTTCTTATTTGTTGCTGCAATGATACGTGGCACTCTGAAACTTGCTAACCCCAGGGGTATCCTGACTCTAACAGCCGTGTGTTATATCCTTTACCCCTTGTATTTCCTGTTTAGAGGAAATCTGGAAGTGCTTTGATATCAGGTACCAGCTGGAACTATTTTGAATATAAACATATGGCTTATAAGTATGAATATTTGACTTAAAGTTCTGAGCAGCATAGAAGAGGACAACAAAGAACTTGTGTAACAATTAGTGCTCGCTCCTACTGGGGTTTTTGCGAGGAATAATGAAAAGTAGCCATGTTCATTTTGTTTCATGCTCCGGGGTAAGTTTTTTACTTCACATTGCGATTAGTAGTTCTATGTTAGCAAGCACATCATGTCTGTTTTATAGTTAAGAGCTACCAAAACTTTTAGATGTAAATTTGGCTTGTTTTGAAACTATTAAGAAGTCTTAATTTATCAGTTTGGAAAGTGAGGCAGTCACCTTGTTTTTTTTGCATTTCTAGAGTTTTCATCTGAGTTTCAGAATTGTATGTGTATAGTATGTTGCTGGAAAATACACATTCCTGGAAAGTTAACCATATTTTGCATATCTTTTAGTTATTCTTATTTAAATTTCTTTGGAGTGTTGAGTACTCATCTCACAGATGTTGAGTCCATCTCACAAAATTAAATATCATGGCCAAAATTTTTGTATGCTTCTCATTGCAGTTTTTATTTTTTATATACCCATATTTAGAGGAACTGAGAAGGGCAAGGCACCAGAATTTTAAAATAATGTTTATACATTTTATTATTTTTTAATAATTAAGAATTTAAAAACAAATGTGAGAATGCTGGGTTTTTTTGCACAATGCATAGCTGATTGTGGGGCTCATCAATTTTCTTGATAAGTTTTTACAGTTCAAGAAGCACCTGGACATATGTAGTGATGGAGAAGACCCATCAATAGCTGGTAGCATAGTCGGTCTGTGCTTCAAGAAGTCTTCAGTTCTTAAGCTGCTGGAATAGTATTTATTCTGAAGCATTTATTATACTGTTGGTGCTGCTTTTTGTTCTTCTCTTAGCATCTCCATCTGACTGTGCTCAGAAACAGGTTGCTAGGCTCAAATGACTTTGGGCCCTAAAGCACTACAGCTTTCTTGCCACCTTTGGGAATTTCAGAATATTTTATCAAATAGCCTATATAGGAGTGGATATTCCTTCCTTCCTTTTCTTTATCTGTAGCTGCTCTTTCTTAGGATTCATTTGATTCCTGGATTTATTGGCTCAGAAGAAGCAGACTGGATATTTGAACAACTGCTCCAAGACATACCCTGGGGTCAGAGAACTCACGTCAGACAGGGTAAGGATATCTAGCTCTTCAGGTCATTCCCAGGTTATATCTGCACCAAAATCTGTGCTGTGTCTACCACTATTTTCCAATTTACACTTTGTCTTTTCTGTTTGTTTTTTTTTTTCCATGTGTATTTGCAGAGTGTTGCTGCTCATTTTTCTAATCTGTATCACCATGCTTGCATTGCTAATTTGATCAGGTCTTTCCAAATTCAAGTGAAAATTGCCTGTGTTTCTTAAAAATTTTTGAATTTGAGTGCCTCTTCTGTCATCCCTCTAGTTCTTCTAGTTCTTTCTCCTGCTGTTTCTTTTTTTCTCCGCTCCACCGCTTCATACTGTTTCCTGGTCATGCTGTAAAAACTGTGTTCTTTGAGATTCTTGTCACTAGAAATAGCTTTTGCCTCTCGCTTAAAATCCCAGAAGAGCCTGTTTCTTTACCCTTGTCTTTACGTGTTAGTTCTGCTGTGCGGTAAGTGAAGAGACTGCTTTTCCAGGTTTGTTCACTAAGGGGCACCTGTTGGAGCCAAATGGCCCATTTATCCAGAAACAGTACCACACACAGGTGGTAAAAATTTTTCAACATCTGTATTTGCTTGGTTGTGATGAAAGTAATGTGTAGTAGAGAATGCTACCTATCAAACATGAGAAATAGTTGCCAAGAGTGTCTTTGAAGAAGTTGAAAGTACTTGTATTTGATGTTTGCATTACACCACAACCTATATTTGCAAAAAGCTTACTTGCCAGACCTTGCTGCATTCTGCTTCTGTAATATCCTGCTGAGGTTGCAGTCCTTTCCAGTCATCCTTTCTGATGGATGCAGCTGCTGCTAGTCTATTAAGCACTGGGACCAGAAATATGCAAGGCAACCCAGAATTATAAATGAAACTTCACTTTCATTATTCACCCTTAACTTGTCCAGTGCCTGTCTTGTTAGCCATGGGGATGAGAAAACTGGTGTGGTTCCAAGATTGCTGGAAGGCCATGCCTTTGGTAGAGACTCCAGAGCAGAACACAAGAGCTGCCTTTGAATAATTTCAGTCAGTCACTACAAGTCTTTATGCGAGGTCGAGGGCCTTTAAGGGAGGCACTTTCTTACCTGTAGTTGAGTAGACTGGCCCTTTTTGAATATCTTTGATTAAATTTCTTGAAGATTGGCATCTTTGTCTTTTCAAGACCTTTGATAAGAAAACTGACAAAGTAATATTTTTTATTATTATTTTTTAGAGGTATCCTTTGAGGAGCCAAGACTTACCTCCTGGTATGGGGAACTTCCTTACACATACTCCAGGTTGACAATGCAGCCAAACCCTAACGTATGTATACGTTTGCAGTGTCCTGTTATTGCAGTATACAAATAAGCCCTTTATAACGATTGAGAGAGAAAAATGCCCTCTATTCAATTTCTGTGCAGAATTTCTATTTGAATCTCATTTTTGATCAGCAACAGATCTAGCAGGATAGAGGCTAGTGGAATGAGCTTCATTTAAAAAAAAAGAGTTACAAGCAGATTTATTGGGCAGAGCATGAGGTTAAAAGGGACAGGAAGTTAACACTTGGTTCAAAGTTTTGCTGTTGGGTCACTGTGTAGTTTTGACAAATCTCTTAATTATTTGGTTTGGTTTACTCTATGCATCTTTCTGTTAGAGATTGGAGTGCACAAAGGCATATAGCATTTTTTATTTTAAAGATACAGTAATATCAATTACTAAAAAGATATATATTTTCCCAGAACCCTTGAAGTAATATTGCTTTGAAGTAATATTACTTTGTTGAGAACTTAGGCATTTTGTTGATTCCGGTGTGAATTGCTGGGATTCGCACACATGACCTGCCTGTTCAGCAACTCCAGATCGTAGTGTGTAAATTCCCTCGCTATTTTGGAAGGCTTGGAAACCTTCCTTCTAACTGTCTTGCTGACGTTTTGTTTGTGTTGTGTCAATCTCTCTGGCTTCCAGCCTGTTATCCCGTTGCCCTGTCTCTTGGTATTGCTTTGTTTGGAATTTCCATGGCAGTAGATTACAATGTCCCAAAACATAAATTAAGCATGACTGGTAAAGGCAGGAGAGCATGAGACAGAAGCGTTTGACTCCCAGCGGTGCTGCTAGGGGGGTACCCCTCCTTGCTAAAGCCCAGTTTCAGAGAAGTGGGAGGGCCTGATGTAACAAGAAGAGTTGTGAAGATTTTATAGTCTCAAAAATACCATAGCTGGAAGCCTGCAGAATTTTTGGTGGAAAGATAAAGCCATTGTTTTTCAGCGGTTGGCTGGAATATATATCCCCTGAATTCACAGTTGCAATCCAGTTTGCAAAAAATTCAGAATTATCACTAACTGGGCCGCTGCCTTCTTTTTTCCTCATCTGAAAGATACACCAGCTGTATCAGTCATGCAAGTTTATTTAGTCTTTTATCCTCCTTTTTTTATTTGGAGAAGGAAACTTAAGCAAAATGTGAGATGTACTGGCAAACTCATAGCTGGAAACTAGCTCTGTCACTGTCTAGATACTGCCCATAGATCAGTATATGCCATAGATCGCTTGCAGACACCCTGATGTTGTACTGTGCTTTGTAGATGGAAGTTTCTGCAGCCTAGAAGAAACAGTAGGTGGCATAAAGAGCACAATCCTTGCCTGTAGAGTAGTTTTATATCACAAGAATAGGCTAAAGGGAAGCAAAGTAATTTAATGCACAGCTTGGCCAAGCCAGTTACCTGCCCTGAACATTTGATCTGCAGGAGTAATTAGCGTTTGGTGTCTTCCTGCCCATGCCTCTTTCCTCCCTTCCTCCCTTCTTTTCTTTTTAATTTTAGAGGGAGGTGGGGGTTGGTTGGTTGTGGGTTTTTCTTTAATACTGGATGTGATGGTAGCACCGCTAAGTATAATCCAGTGTGAGTGTTTAGAAGAATTTTGGTATTAAAAATACGCTTCTTTTGGAGCAGTGATGTAGTTGGTACTGACATTTCATAACAAAATGACTTCAGTTGCTGCAGGTTTATAGTATTAAATATGATTCACTTGACTGAGTTATAATACAACGTGCATAGCTGCCATAGATTATGGATGCAGCAGTGTGTTGCCAAAGGAAAGGATGAGAGTCGGTCCTGCATCACTCATTTTTTAAATCACTGAAAGTTTAAAATGTTACAGGCAAACCCTAGGATATGTTGAGTTTGGCTGAGCAAGCTGCACTAACAGAGCTAGGAACAGAGCCCTGTGTTATGACAGTTCTAAGCCATCCGTTGTCTCTTACTCTGGGTCAACAATTGCAGGTAGTTCAGCATGTCACTGAGTCACTTATTCCTACTTTCTTGGTGGATTGTGTCTACCAGTGACAGCTCATATAACTCAGATCTTAGCAGACCTTGGCCAGGAGATTAAAAAAAGCATGTATTCATAGAAGAAGTTGAACAGTTTTTGTTTCAGGTAAGAAGTCCCATTGTTTATCCATGGTTAATTCAAGCAGATTTTCCTCTACTTTATCTCATTTAACTGGGGTAGCTTGGCATGTATGTATGAAAGGCACGCTGGCTTCATGTCGTTAAGAGATGATTTAGTATTGAGCCATAGGTAACATGAGCATATCTGGCAGAAAGCCTGGTCCTCACCTATGCTGAAAATATAATCAAAATTGTTTAGAGGCATTTGTTTGGCTTCAGGTTCATTGCAGTGAGAGTGCCATATGCTTAGTTTCTTACTAGTAGTTTTACCCTTGTGTCCGATACCATGACAGATTACCCCCGTAGGATAACATCACGGTATTTATCCAGTTCCTGCTGTGCTGGTTCCAGTGGCATCCTGTGCTGACCATGCTGAAGGAGCGCGTTGAGGAGTTCAGCGGCTACACCTTCAACTCCCTGCTCTGCAACCTCTACCGAAACGAGAAGGACAGCGTGGACTGGCACAGCGATGACGAACCGTCCCTGGGCAGGAACCCTGTCATTGCCTCGCTCAGCTTCGGCGCCACCCGCACCTTTGAGATGAGGAAGAAACCCTCCCCTGTGAGTGTTCGTGTCACTGAGAGCCCCACAATCACTGATGCAGGCAGGAGCTTTTCCTGTTCTCAGAAAACTTAATAATTACTGAAAGTACTTAAGTAATGTTAGGAGTTACTGTAAAAGCACCATTGATTCTTGTGAAATAAGCACAAGAAGCAAGCTGCATACTTTACAGAACATGACATCTTCAGGTTTGGAAGGAAGCAGCAGTATAGTAATGTGCAGCAATGTAATGCTGTAGTAAAACTGCAATCCAGGGATTCTTCTGCAACAATAATGGCCTTGGCAGTTAAAGAGAAACTAGTGATATTCCTGGTGAGTACTTCAAAGGACCCTGGCCGGAGTTCGGAGGGGATTTTCAGTGTGTAAGTGGACATAGAGTTGATACCCTCTTCTTGACATCAGTCATAATATATGTGGGATGAAGAGTACCTCTGACTGTTCCTGGCTGTTGGCATCTTCTTAGCACTGCTTGCATTCTGGCATGTGTGTGCTAGGACCAAGAGACAGTGAGCAGAGGGAAGGAAGAGCTGGTTTCTTTCCCTGAAGTGCGGAGCTGTTGCATCCTACTTCACAGACTAAACAGAGATCCTAACTTTGATAGGGGGTATGTGGAACGTCCTTTCAGAAGTTTGTCAGTTTTTCAGTACAGAATACTCTTGCTAGATGAAAATGCTGTTTTAGGGAATGCTATGTTCTAAAACAGCTTAATGCTTCTTGTATTAAGTACAATAATCTTGGAACTTAAGATTATCCAAGCAGAACATCCTGCTTTGCATGTCTTCTTGCGTGTCTTCTGTTATGTAGTGGACTAGTTACTGTGAACTTCAATGGTGAGAAGTGTTTATTTTTTCTTTTTTTCTTCCTCTGTTTTAAACATACACATGTGGGTATATTAGAAAAGCTGGAATTGTTGAGAAGTTTATCTGCTTATGCTTCTGTTTACTTTGAATGAACTGATGCAGAAAACAAACATGTAGATTATCAAACTATTAGAGAAATGCCTGTGTACTGATGTAATCAAATTTACTCATTAAAAATTACCTTGGGCCACTGGTGAACAGCAAAGGGCACAGCTTGAATCAAAAAAGTAAATAATTCATATTTTTTTACTGGTTCTTCCTTTCTTAGTTTGTAAAGTCTTTGTTGCCTAAGGTGGATTTTATGCTGTGGTCCCTGAACACATGAGATCATGTAACCAGTGTCTTAGCTCAGTGGGCATAGCGTGAGTAAGCATCCTTGATGTTGTAACGGTAGCTAAATGTCAGCAGGAAAAGCTCATTCCTGTGGGAAGCTGTCAGCGGTGCTTGGATTCACTTCTAGAAGTGCATGTGTCCCTCTGGATGGATCAGAATCAAGGCCGGTGAGATTTCAGTACAAACTTTATACTTTACCTCTAAAAGCAGAACTCAGTTCTTAGTGTCTATGTTCTCTTTTATATTTCCTGAAAACAAACCCACCATAAACAAAGGGGAGAATTCAGTCTGTGCCTTCAGTAACTGGCCATCTTGCTTGACCTGCACTGTGTGATTTTTTTTTTCTCCTTTTTGTTTCCGAGGTGGGTGATTTCCTACAGAAATACCCCTTAAGCTGTCCTCAGTGTGTCTTACCTAAGAGTTCTGACCAACTCAGTCTTGTTGAACATGATGTATGTTCCTTCTGCAAGAGACATACCTGTTTCTAAGGTATGATCACTATGTGCAGAGTCATCTTTGAACAAATTGCTATTAACTGTTATCTCTGCCTGAAGGGAACTTGTACTTAATTATACAGCAAATATTAGATATTCTTTGCACTTTCCAGAAGCCTATAATTTTCTTGAGAGCATCCTATGACACTAGGATAGCTCTACCAAGTGGGAGTTACAGGACTTTCTGATGGAAATTACAACTTTTCAGGCTGTACTACCAAAGAAGTAATTTTTATACTGCATTGCAACACAGCGTTCCATCTTTCTTTGAGACAAAGTAAGTGCTGGTTGTAGATATGGGAAGCTACAGCAAGAGGAACGTAGTTTTAGAGACAAGGGGTTCAGATTGAGAGTCATCACCAACATTCCAGGCTCTCTGGTGTGTAATCCGTCAGTTTTAGTGCATCACCTATTCAAGAATTAGTTTTTGCTAGGGAAGGGAGGAGAGCCTAGATAACTTTTTGACGGGTGTAAGTTGAAACAGAGGAGGTTCCACCTCCACATGAGGAAGAACTTCTTTACTGTTAGGGTGACAGAGCCCTGGAACAGGCTGCCCAGAGAGGTTGCGGAGTCTCCTCTGGAGATCTTCCAAACCCGCCTGGATGCCACCCTGTGCCACGTGTTCTGGGTGTCCCTGCTGGAGCAGGGGGGTTGGACTGGATGATTGCTAGAGATCTCTTCCATCCTTAACCATCCTGTAATTCTGTGAGCTGTGATTTTCTCTCAAAATTCAGCATCTCTGCGGGCCAGAGTTCTAATTACTTAGATTTGAGAGCTTTGAAGACTTTCATCTCTCTGTAGCTGTTCCTCTAAGTCCTGTTAAGTATTTTGAACTGAAATGCACCATGAAAATACAGGATGATAAATACTGTGATAGAGGATCATCCTGGATGAATGATGCAGCAGAAAAAAAGATTAAACAACTCTGATCAAGTTTTGGGTACAAAACAGTATGTACAGCTACTTGGATAGCATCCTGTAGCGCTATTGAACAGTACTAGCCTGGGGTTTTGGAGACTGCAATTTACATTAGCAACCATGTAAATATTTATTATGTCTTGAAATATGTATCTCCTTATTAGGAATTAAATGTCTTTTATTTTATTTTTTCCCTGAGAAAACTACAGGGAAGATAATGCTGACTATTTTTGGCAGCACATATGTGAGGTTTTGATGTTTGTCTGGTAGGAATTTGACTTCAGTTTGTGTGGGCCACCCTGTTGCAAAAAGAAGTCTTTTTTTTTTTCCTTTCCTTATATGCTTTTGTGGCCAAAAAAAAAAAAAAGGAACGTGTTATTTAGGTGCAAGCAATTTTTTCCTTGTAAATAGTTCTAGAGGGAGGGTACTATGTGCTCAAGTGCACATTATGTACTAGACAGTGAAGGAGCTCGGGGACGTGCGTAGCATATTTGCATCCCCATCACAAGCATCACTTGTGGCTTCACAGCAGTAATTTCTACATGGATTTAGCCCAGTGCCAGTCCAACACAACAGATGTGTTTCGGAAGCAAATCCCCAGCTAGAGCTGCTAAGAAGCCTCCTTGTGGAGTTGGTGTGGTGCGGGCAGTGGCGGCGTTGCTGGCGGGCTGCTCTCGCCAGCCCTTCTCGGCAGTTTGCGCGGGAGCCAGGAGGTGGCTGCTTTGTGCTGGGTCTGATTCACGCACCCTGCTCACGAGCTCTGCCTTTAGTCAGCAAGTCCTGCTGTGCTTGCCAACAGCATCAGCTGTCACCTCTGATCCCTGGGCCCGTCTCCAGCTTTCCCCAAGGCCCCTGTTTTTGTGGAGGATTTTAACCGGAGGGTAGCTGACTTCACCGCGTTACACAGCTCTCTAACAGAATCTTACTACCATTTTTACTGCTGCCTCTCGCTGTTTAACTTGGACACTGCCAGCTTTTTTGATTAGACCCTTTGGGAAACTGAATGTCAAAACCTAGTTAAAGGGCAGGGGGCTATACCTGATCTTTTGGTGAGCTCCTGCGTGCCCCGGGGAGGCCCTGTGCAGTGCCGGATCGGTGCCGTACGGAGCGGTTGGGCGCGATTGCCCGGCTGACGGCGGCGTCCGCGTGCGTGGAGGTGACGAGTCGTACGGCTGCTCCTCTCCCAGGGGTGACCAGGGGAACGATGGGCTTGGGGGTGTGTTGGGGTGCTTCGTGTCTGGGTTAGATAATAGCAGGATGTTCGTGGTGTTCTCGGAATCAGCCTTCACGTGGGTCTGTCCTTCAAACGAAACACAAAAACAAGGTCCTTTACCAGGCCTTGGACAGCTGATGTCACAGGAGGTAAAGATCTCCTTGAGCTTTCGAACACAAGTAGGAAAATAACCTGCGATGTCCTAACAGGCATTATTTGAGAAGAATACGAAGGTATAAAGAGCACAGTAGAAACTGAGGCTAGAATCAGGACAAGCAGGGTTGATCCTTTTAGAATGGCATCAAGGCAACTTGAGGCAGAAGTCCAGGAATATTTTTAAATATTGTACTCAATGCTTCCTGTCAGCTAAACCTGAGTTTTCCTGACTTGATGACCATGGTTACTTAAAAAGAATTTTAAAAAAATAAATAAATTAAATCAGTTTACGTAGGCACTATAGATTTTGGATTGTATTAAATGTGCAACTCAAAATTATCAGAGTAAAATTCTCATACACTAAGAAGCAGGCCAGTAGCTTTATTACACCAGTATTCTTCTTCTAAAGAGTTTTGCTCCTTAGAAGTCAGGAATAATCTTCTTTTGTAAACTTTGAATTCTGAAACCCAACTAGATTTCTCATATGCTTAACATTGGCTCCAGCGGTAAAAGTTCTGAAATAAAAATTTGATGGATAGTAGAAGTTATTACATGTGAGAGAGAGTCTTTGTCTCTAACTTTACTTGTTCTGAATAACAGAAAATCTCTTTTCTTCTGAGTTAAACTCAACTCAGAAGTGTCCCATATAAAATGGGTGGAAAATGGTGTTTTTACCTGCTAGCTTTTATAACTCAAAGCATGGTTTCTCCTAAACCACGTCTCTCAGAAGATTCATTTCAGTCAAGATGAGCAGGATACAGAGTTCACTGTTGTCTGGCTGCAGACTGAAATGATGTAATCCTGTGAAATCAAAACCAAGCCTGCAGTGGTATTTCTCTGCTCTTCATCAGAAGTCGTATTTTTTGATATCTGTTTTTGCAATTTTCTGTTAGTTTCCTCTAAAGTTTAAGAAAGCATTTTTGGCATTATTTCTGACAGAGCAAGATAAATGGCTAAGAATTCCAGAAACTTGAAATATTTTGCAAAGGACATTGTCATTACCAAGAAAATATTAGGCATGATCCTGAATCCTTTCAGCACTCACTGACTTCCAAGTTTAGGGAGCTTCACTGCTGGAACAGCCTCAGGCTTTTGGGTTATCACCAAGAAATGCACAAATGCAGTATTGCCAGCCAGTACTGGTAATTGTACTAGCAGCAAATGAATAGCCTCATTCTGTCACTCTGTGGTGAATATCTAGTCCCCGACGTGAATAGAAATTGGCAAAGGTGCTAAGTCAATTACACCAAGCAGTGCTTTTTACTATTGGGAATTGATCTGACTCCAACCAAACTCTTTTCAGAGGATTCTCTGTACCTGCTTCTGCCTTTGATTGTCCTCCTTGCCCTGTGCTAAAGATTGTTCTTTTCCCTAATCTTTTTGTTTAAGTCCAAGACATAATTTTCCCAGTAGTTGAGACTACTGCTAGTTGAATTTTTCTTAGCAGAATATGTTGGGTCAGAGCTATTAGGTTTTCTTAATGTCTCTCAAAATACCATGTCTTTGCTTTATGACTGCTTACACTTTCTTCCTACTGTCCTGTCTGTGCACTGCACTGTTGATTTTACCTGGGGATCTTGTAACCTTAGCTTCAGCAACATGGGGCTTTTGTTAGTGTTGAGGTATCCATACGTAACCGAGCTTCCAGCTGGGTTAAACCTTTTGTGGTTTTGTGAGTCCATATGCAGAATCTCAGTTGTTCTGTACTGTTTCTAGCTCCTTTGGGATCTGCTTCTGTCACAAGTGACATAAGTTGTGACCTCCTATCTCCCTTTTTTTACTCCCAACTAAAGGTTCCATTTTATATGACAAACCTGACATGCCACTGTAGTTAACAGAGTTGGTTTAATTCAGGCAGGAGTGATTGCTCTGCTCAGCTGGATCTGAAATAAGTGAGTGTTGCTTCCTCCCAGACACTCAACAAGTGCAATTTTAGGAGTAAGCCAGTGAAGAAACTAGAAGAGAAAAAACTGCTTCACGACTACTAAAAACTTTAAGAATAGAGGGGAAAAAATGTGAAGCCTCTGTTGAGCACTAGTCTATAAGATACATATTTCTTTACAGGGAGACTGTAATGGTTTAGAACGCTAAGACCTGGCCTAATTATGTTTCTCTTAACCTGTTCGTTGTACCATATTTCTGCCCTTTTTTTTTTTTTTTTTTTTCTCCATGAACAAGTAACTGATCTGGTCATCTCTAGGGAAAAAAAGCCAACGTCATTGCTTCTAGAGGTGTTGGTACAATAACAAATTTGTAATCAGGCTATCTGTTCACTGTATGTTGTATACACAGAACAGTGTTAACCCTGTACTAGTACAGTTCAGTCCTTGGGACTGAATGCTTGTCATGTTTCCTTGGAGGACATTTACTACACAGTTTGTTATTTCAGGCTGTGTGTGACTTTCTAGACATTTAGAATAAAAGGAATACTGGAGGGAAGTAGGGAGTTACTATTCCTCTGTGTGGTATATGTGAAGCCAATATGGTAGTGTTGCTGTATCCAGTGATGATGCTTTTGCTTTAAAAATATTTTAGGTAATTTGAAGGTTTATAGAAAGTTTTGCAAATAGTTAGTATTTTCTAGGTTAGCAGTTTGCTTTACTTAAAGAAAAAGGTTAAGAGAACTTGCTTTACAAGTTACTGTAGGAGACCTTTTCTATCAGAGTTTTTCTTTATCTATCAGAAAATGCTAACCAAAATGTCATGTCTGGAACTTGAAACAAGACCAATTCAGATTAGAAAGAAGACGCATATTTTTGATGAGGTAGTTAACCATTGGCATAATGGTTATTACTGCAGTGTGTCTCCACACAGAACTCTTCAAGTCAAGAGTCACTGTTTCTGAAAGATTTGTTGTCTCAGTCCAGAATTTTGCACCACGTAGAGGAATCAGTTGTTGAACTTTGTCTATGTTGTACAATCTGTGAGATGCTTTAAATGCTCAGCCTGAAATCTCTGTGAAATACAGTTGCAGACAGGTGTAGTTAGGCTTTCTTGTCTTATTCGTTGCCTTCTCCCCCCTCCCCATATTTTAAGCACTGCTAAAGAGGACTGGTTTTCTACCAAATGCAATTACCCACTTCTGTATCTGTGTACACTTCTGTATCCCACCTTTTTTAGGAAGAGAATGAAGACTATACTTACGTAGAAAGACTACGAATTCCACTGGATCACGGGACTCTACTGATGATGGAAGGGGCTACCCAGACAGATTGGCAGGTAAGAAATTTTTAAGAAAACAATAGGTTTTTCATTCCGGCACTAATTGGTATGGTAGGAATCAGCTCATATGCAGATGTTCCAGCATTTTTTAAACTTGGGCATTAAGGTTTCAGCCTGCAGCTGAAAGAGCAAAAATAATTTAGGAACTAAAAACATAGGAAGTTACAATTTCATTTAGGAGCCTTACAATAATTAATAAAGACCTTTTGTTTTCAGTGGCTCTGAGCAGTTGGAACATGATTTTTTTGCCTTACCCTAATGTTCAGAAAAGTTAGTAAAAGCTTTTTCTTTTTTTTTTTTTAAAAAAAAAAAGTTAGTAAAAAAGAGTTACTAAAATCCCTGGTCACTGGAAATGAAGTTACGTGTTTTTCTTGTTGTGTGATTTACCTGTATTTTAAATATACATGCTCATGCTTTTGCTTTTGTTCTGTTTTGTTTTTTATACTGTCACAGCATCGAGTACCTAAGGAATATCATTCCAGGGATGCGCGGATAAACTTGACATTTAGGATCATTTATCCAGAATCTGAGGGAACTTGATAATCAAGAGACACTACAAACCAAAGGAAGCCTTACAGAAACAGAGTTCTGTCATATCTGATGGAGAAAAGATGGATATCGTGAAGATCTTTGACAGTCAGAAGCTCACTGTGTTATATGGACAGTGCTGTTTTGTCTTCAGAAGTTGTGCTGTATCAGATGATGCTAAATTACAGACTTTTGAGAATGAATAATGATCAATCTTGGACGAACACGAAACACCTGAAATTAAAGATCTGAGAGATACCAGTCGGAGCAGAAAGATTCAGTGAGCAGTTATTTCTGCACCTTCCCTTGTCTTCACTTTCTCCTCTAATAGTGGTTCATTTTCCCAGTGAAGCCAGGACAGGATTCATGTATGTGAAGCCAGCTCTGTGTGCTATGTGTATAGAGGTGAGAAAGCTGCGCTTCATGATCCTCTCCTAGGTGTTAATAACCTCACCAAGCACTAGGGCCTTGCTTTTCATTTGTGTGTTGCAAAGTCTTTTCCAGCAAAGGAGTCACTTGTAATTCATGCAATTTTTTGAATTACTTGTGCTAAGTAACGAAAGATCAAGGCTTCCCTCTGCTATACACTGTGCAGTCAGATTTTGTGCTATTTTATCTGTGCAGACAGGACAGACAGGGAACACAAACTGCTTAGCCAGGTCTCATCCATCAGGCCCAGATTGCCCATCTCTTGAGTATTAAGTTTTCTGTCTCTGATGGCTTTAGACTGTCTTAGGAAAATAGAGACAAAAAGAAAAGAATACACTACTTTCAGAATTTGTTAATAGATTCTTAATTTATTGTTGTGTGTTTCTTTTTAGCACAATTAAGCTATGGCTTCCAGTGATATCAGGTGGAACTGGAAATGATAACTGGGCATATACTGCCAAACAAGACACCTAGAAGGATTGTCCCGAAGATTTGGGACTTAAATTACTATAATCACATTGTAAGTCAGTGCTAGTCTGGTGCTACTACCAAAATGTTGCTAGGACATTTCATACAGTATTAAAGAATGTTACTCTGAAGGATCTCTCTTAAATTTCTGTCTATGTAGAGAAGCAATCAACAGCTGATGTACAATTCAGGTTGACCTGCTGGAATTCAGGTTTGTGTAACCTACGCAGTTAAGTCATCACTACAGTTAAGTAGCTTCCGTATTCGTGTTGGACCCAAACACAGGTTTGGTATGTGCTCACCTTCTGCCTACAGCAGCCATACCTTACATACATACACGCATTTTTTTAACACATCAATGTTATGAGGTAAGTTAATGTCCCTTTTAACTTGAGAATAAGTTGGTGCCTAGAAAAAGTCTCAGTATTTGCTGCAGATTAAAATAGATACTTGAGGAAAGTCAAGTTGTTAATACTCTACTGTACCTATGTTTTAGTATTGGTGACCTAAAGGAAGGACTACTGGGTCATTTTAATTCCTGTACTCTTAGCACTGGGCAGAATCATATCTTTGTCTGTCACATCTCTTAGCAGCTTGTCCACCTAAGGCCCCATTCAGCCTTTGAAATAGCTTATTCTTCTGCAGTGAATGATTGTTGTTAGGAAACTTGCTTCATTACCTAATAATGTCTTTGCTTTAAACCCTGTTCCTGTGGAAGAATATGTTTCCATAATTTCCTCTGCTTGAGGCCAAGGTCTGGGCCCTGTGATGCGTTTTCTGGGACTTAGTGTTGCAACAAGCAGATACCTGCTCTCCAGGTGTGACTGGTGCTTTGTGCTGGTCCCTGGGGGTATGTCCAAGCCTGGCAGTCCTTGCCGAGGGTGTTTTCCCTTCACCAAGGGCAGCAATGTTCCAGCAAGGCAACGTTTTAGCTGTGACGGGAGCTACCTGTGGCGCATTTGGGAAGCGCCGTGCATTGCAGCAGCCCTAGAGGGGAGGACGGAGAGAGGCTTTGGTCCCCCCTGGCCCTGTGTCCTGCCCACAGGAGCAGCTGTGGCCAGGTCCGGTTGCTCTGAGCAGGGCCCTTCCTTCCCCCCGCCTCTTCCCAAATCCGGGCCCAGGCAGCTGGTGGCTGATCCCGACCTCCGGCCCTGCGGAAGGGCAGGAAGGGGCTGGCGGCAGCAGAGATTCCAGCCCACGTCTGCCTGGGAGATCTTCCCACAGAGACGTTTCCCTCATGGACACAGACTTGTTCCTCCCTTGGTGCAGGTAACACTCACGGTTCTCAAAGTGGATGTCTGTAAAAGCTAGACTGAAGAGGTCTTGATCCTTGGGTTCTTGGTAATTAAAGACTTGATTTTCGTTAGAGGACCAGCCAACTTGAAATTTGCAACTCCTACTTTTCAACAGTTTTAGTTGTTTCATAGTTTGACGTGTATTTGGAATGGGAAATACCTGGTTTTGTTCTGATGTTTAATTCCAAAAACATTACTTGGAGGTTCTTTAGACCATAATTTTATATTTGAGCAAGCACTAAACATTTAAAAAAAAAAAAAAAGTCACTGTAAAGGCTTTTTCTTTTTTCCAGTTATGGGACTGCCTTCCTGCCCAGGATTATTTTGACAGTACAGTAGTCCCAACCAGAAGGTTATTGAAAATATTTAAACTGAGAATTTATAGCGTGAATTTAACAAAGGTGTTCTGTTTATTTGAAAAAAAAAAAAAAAAGTATATTCACAGAGGATTCAGGAACAGAGTGATTCTGTTTTATTTTTGCTCTTATTGCCAGTCTTTTGTGGTTTTTTTTTTTGCTGTTATCACCAGCCTTGAGCCCATATGAGCCATTGGAACAGGTATTAGAGCTGCTCAGCCTGCCGAGCACCTTTGAGTTTTATTTTCCATATTCCCATGTTTTTTTTCTGTCTCCCCCAAAATGCCTTCATAGCCTTTTCCTTTCCTTCTCTCATTATTTGTCTCTAGTTTCCTAGTATGCTCTTTGCTGCAGGTGTGACAGTACTATTTATGTAGAAGGTACAAACTGTACTTTTACTTTTTTCCTCCTATTTCTTCACACTGAAATACCACTTTTTCAGCAGAACATTTCTCTCTTCCAAGAAAAGTGGAAAAAAAAAAAGAAAAAAAAAGCATTCTTCTCAAAACTTGGCTTTTTTTTTTTTTAATAAGTTTGAGTCTAACCATTTTCCCAGTTAAAATCCCCTTTTCTGAAATAGCCACCACCACCTTTTCTGAAATGTGGCAGCCCTCAGGCTGCAGCACTCGATGATGAGTGAAGCTGTCTGTGAGAACGGACTGTGGCCTGTCGCCTGCACAGAACAGGCAGATTGGAGCTGTTGGGAAGGAGACATTGACTGGCACACGAGGGCATACTGTCAGGAATAGAGCCCTCCATTTATTTAGTACTTATGCGAGTATTAAATGATAACATCATTAATGAACCGCATTAGTGTCAGGAATCCTTCGGTCCCCACACTACCAGTAATAGTCATTTAATCATGGAGTACTTGAATACTCAAGCACAAACTCTTTAAGAGGTTAGATTATATTTAACAGAATATTACACAACTAGGCCACAACACAGGATGATCTAAGCACTTTCCATTTAAAACAAATAGCGAAGTTTCATAATTTCTCTTGTGAATTTATTTCAGAAAAAAAAATAAGTTTGATTTTTCAATTTTTGATTATCTTTAAAACCATAGATTATTGTGTATCTTCTGTGTCAGTTTAATTCTAGCTATTTCTCACTTGTCATGATTGATGGATTTAATGTAGCTAAATAGGCACCGAACAACAGTAATTTAGAAAGAGGTGGGATGCCAGGAAGAGGTTAAACAGAGTTTTTATTGCCTGGTGTTGGCAGAGTACAGAGATGCTCCCCTGGGGCTCAGGACAGCAGACATACAATGGGCGCTGTGAATCTGCAATGCCTCCCTGTCAAGTGCTGGCACTACTGACTTGCTGAAGAGCATTTATCACCCACTTTGCCTTTTCTGGTCATAAACGTTTCCAGGCTGGGAATGAACCTGCCGCACTTAGGTTTGTTTTTGAAGCATTTCTTTTAAACGCTCAGGGTTTCCTTGGCAACATCTGCCATCCTTGTGCATTGGAGCTCGTGGTTTGTCCTCCTGGCACCGAACTTGTGCTGGGATCTTGCAGGTACCGTCCCACTTGTGGGGCTCACCCGTAAGTGTTATATATAGTGGCTCAGCAGCAGATGGATATAAAAATGTTGGCCCTCCTTGAAGGGCCATTCGCTCAGCAGGATGATAGATGTCTGCTTTCCTGCTTGCTGACCTGCATGATTTATCTCATTCTTACATGTATATTTTTTTCTTTATAACATTCAACAATTTTGGATAGTTGTTGTGAGGGCCGTTTACAAACAGGTCAGGTGGCCACTCTTTGGCTGCTTGCGCTGCGCAGACGTGACCAAGGCAAGCTAGCACATCTCCCCCTAAATGAAGGGGATGGGGATTATAGTGAAGAATTAAAATAGAGAGAGTTGCAAAGGGATGGCATGACAAATCCCAGGCCAGAGGAGCACCCACGGCTGGTGGGACAGGGCAATCGTGGCCGCTGGCCCTCAGGTCGCAGCGAGCCCAGCTGGAGGAGCTTTGGCTCTGAGGAGCTTCTCCTGCAGAGAGCAGAAGATGAAACACGAATGTGCAGAGACGTGACCTGCCCGGGGCAATTGTAGCCTGGAAATGCAACCTTCAGTCCCCGTTCAGTGCCCTACTTGTGCAGCTTTTGTTTTGCAGTTCTTTTGGGAAACAAACAGTTTTATTATGGATTTATCACTAGTAATGTGATGGCAACCAGATGCTGTTATCCTCTGACACTGCTACTGAAATGTTGACTTCGCTCTTCAGCTATCATTTTACAATTAGAAGAATTTAGTATAGAAAATAAAATATTTTTGCAGGGAGCATTAATCTGTTCAAACACTTCAGTGTGTTGTCGTACGGCAGCAGGCAGCTTTGTGGGATTTACTGCATCTCAAGAAGCTCGGAACGTCATGGTTGCTAGATACAAATGCAAGGAGGGAGGATCTCTGCACACTCGTGCTTGCACGTCCTGTACACACTGTGCTTGATCCCAGTCTTGGGGTCGGGTGTTTTCAAGCCCCCAGCGGATGGGGCTGAGGAGCAGGAGATGCAGCTGGGGGGCTGAGGGAAGGAGGGGACGGCCGTGCCTCGCTGCGAGTAGTGTCGTGCTGCACCACCTTAGCTGAAACTAGTATTTTAACAAGTATTTCCCGTAGCAATGCTGTTTCTTTAGCCTGACTTGAAAGTGCTACCTAAAATGGCCGAACTCCTATAAAAATGAGATCAACCTTTTTTCCCTTAAAACTTATTTCCTCTTAAGTGGCTAAAGTCTCAGTACGTGACAACGTGGAACCATTTGTGTAGCAGGCTGCCTAGAAAGAGGCATAAAAATTTACGCGCACCTGTAAGCCGTGCATCGTGCACCTCACGCTTGAAGCACGACCAGGAGACCTCGATCATCCTGGAAGCCGCTAGGTGCGAGCACCGGAGCTGCCTTCACACAAGCCACCTCATGCGCTTGCAGTGCCTGGTAAGTCACAGGGGGGACTGGGACGCGGGGCGGCTGGCAATGCTTCTGCCTGGCCACGCGAGGGGCTCGTCCTGGGGGAACGTTGTGGGTACCGAGCAGGTGGGATTGCTGCTCGTGTGTGGCTTAGCCGCATGCCCGGTTGCGAGCATGCCAGCATGGTCCTCACTGAGGCGTTCCCACAGGCCATCTGGTTGCTGGTGTTGCCTTTGGTATTACTGCAAATATGCATGGAAAGGGTGCGCGTTGGGTAAGGCAGCCTGGCGTGCGCAGCGCTCAGCTGAGCGTTTCCCGGGCTCGGTGTGTTGAGGGGGGCTCGTGATGGGCCAGGCCACAGAGCGGAGACGTGTTCCGCAGCGAGGGCAAGGCCTCCCTGTCGGAGCGTGCTCGCGGATGGCGCCTTCCTGCGAGGCGCCTTTTCCACACCCGATGGCCTTGGGCTGAACCCAAGGGTGTGTGTGGGCACGGGTGGGAAGGCGGCGAGGGCGTCTCGGCCATCCTGAGGCGGCGGGATCCATTTCCTGCGTACTCGCTTCGCGTTTCCCCGACACTACAGCTTAGGCTGCAGTAGGTGAATGCTTTCAGTATTATTCTAAAAATGGTTGTTTGGGGATGTGAATTATATTGGAAAAGAGAAAAGAAACTGTGCCCTTTCCTCATGTCAATTAATTCAAGGAGCAACATTTCTGATTTGATGACGTGCCCAATAAGATGCTGTGTGGTGGCTTACAGAATTAAACAAGTGACTAAAAAATGCTGTCTAGCAGGGCAGCAAGAGGCAAATTTTACTCTCTAGCACTTTCTGAGTGGAGACCTGAGAGACATCTGCTCAGATCTGTTGGCTATGAAGTAGCTTATGGGGATGAGTCATGAGACGCTCCATGAATTCTTGGAGTGTGATTGCAGCATCTCTCGGCTGTGTGGGACAAGCCCTGGTGTCCGGGCTATCTGAGCTGGGATTACCTGACAGCAAGTGATCTTATGGATCCTTGGCCTTGGAAAGGTTTTTTTTTTCCCTACTGAAAGAGGTAGATCTCTTCCTTCCTCTCCCTCTTTTCCTCCTTTCCCCTCTGTGGCATCCAGTTGAATGGCAAAAGGAATATCTGAGGGGAAGGCATGTGTTTCTGATGGTTGCACTGCCAAATGTGTGTCCTGGTGCCCTGGGCTGATTGCCATGATAGTGTCCCGCCAGCGTTAGCAGCCTCCTCTTCTACAGAACTGGGATTTGGACCTTCCCAGGCCCTCCAGGTGTTGAATGGGTACTAAATACAAGCAGAGGCCATAGGCTGTCCCTGGCTGTGGGCGAAGGCCTGCGCGGGTCCCTGTCCCCTGCAAGGGGCCCTGCTGTGCAACGTGATTTCAGTCCCGTACTATGCGGAAGAGAAATCCGCTCCTATGATCCATGCAGCCAAGAGTTTCTGTAATCTATACGATGAGGTCAGATTTCAAATACTGAGAGCAGCCTAGGTTAAAGCCATGATTTAAGCCACCAGAATAAATATAGTTTTTACATTAGCGCATTGCAGCCCTAACTTGGAGGATTATATCACGGGATATTTTTTTCTGAATTGTCTCAAGCCGAATCTTAAGGCCTCCTAGTTATTACCATGGTGACGTTGCTCCAACTTGGTGGCGACAGTTTCCCAGAGCCTTTTATAACCGTAATTCTAAAGGGAATTAAATGCTTGTTTTGAAGTAAAACCAGTTTGCTCTCATCCAGAGCTTGGTTTATGAGACTGGGTTTGGAGCAGGGGTGCGTATTGGGTTGCAGATGTTGTTTGGCCTTTTCCAAAGCTACAATCTCCCTTTATGCCAAGGCTGTGCCGCTCAAGCGGGTTGAACTCGTCCCGCTCCACAGGCCAGTGAGCTGTTTTCCTCCGCACTCCTGCGTCAAACCCCAGTGCGTCCCTGCGGTGCCAGCGAGCTCGGCCCCAACAATCCTCCGAGTAATTCTGCAGCCTTCCCCTCCTGGAGGGGTTTGCCGAGGAGGACGCCAGGTCCTCTCCGCACTGCAGAAGAGGTTGTCAGGAATAAAAACTGCCTTGCAAATGGGTCTCTTGGAGAGAAAGTGGTTGTAACGCAGCAAGGGCTCTGGAGGCTAAATTTAGACGCTTAAAATGAACATTAAAAACACAGCCTTCTCCAATTTGACCAAATAGAAAGCTGTTCCCATATGAAGTTAATTGTGCCTCCCAATAAAAAGGCTTCAACCTGAACCTGGCCCTAGAGCTGCTACTGGGGGCCAGGGAGTTGAGCAATCCTAGCCAGGTGGTGGGGACGCTGGGGCTTTCAGTGCTGCTGATGCTGGCAAGAGGCCTAAGGCAGCCGAACCTCTGGACCCGCTGCTCCCCGTGCCCAGCGCCCTTCTCCCGAGCCAGAGTTCCATGTGCCCCATCCTGTTTGTGATGGCGGCCGCTCCTCAGCGCAGCCCTTGGTCTCCTCCACGCTAGCGAGACTCGTGGCCGCCGCTCGGGGCTGCCCACGAGGAGGGGTCGCCGGCAGGAGCTGAGGCTCGAGGAGGCTCAACCTCATCCTGCGATTCTGTGATTCTGTGAGGCTGCTGCTGTGGCCAGGCTGCTGCCTGCGGGTGCTGCGCTCTGCGTGAGCCCGTGCTGCTCCAACAGCGCTGCTCTGGCTCCGTGCACAGGAGGTGTTACAGGACAGAAGTGCGACGCGGAGGTGCTGGCCCAGGCACGGGGCCAGGTGTGCCGAGGGGTGCAGGGCTGGGTGGCCTCGTTACCTGCCACCCCGGCGCGGGTCCTTGCTGCCAGCCCAGCCCCGGG